ATCTCTTCAAATTAGCATATTCTTTGTAAATAATTTTATTTTGTCGTTGTCTTTGTCGTTTGTTTACTAGCGCTTAGAACAGATTTGTATTTGCGCTTTATAAATAAATATTATTATTATTATTATTAATGCACTTGCAGTGTTGGCCAACATGGTATACTCATGCATACAGTGTATAATGGAATTATTTATTTTTAAATATTATTTAAAGAACGTGTAATGGTTATTATTTCACCTGACTGCAAATACCACAGTGGTGCAAGCTCAACAGGGTTAAACTCAAAGCAATTAAAAGGCACCTCTGGCAGCCACTATACAGTCAATGCTAATGACCCCAGAGCACAGCTCTAAAATAACCAGATACTCAATTTTACTTTTATCCAGCTATTCCTCTTGCAAGAATATGCCAGATTTTGGAATATGACCAGATTATCAAGCCAGAATTTGTATCCTTTAAAATAGCTTAAATAATACACTCTGCAGCTCCATATCTATAATATCAGTTACATTTTAATCCTTCATACACTACGTGTACTGTAGAGCCAAAACAATCTCATTTGAAACTGGAATTTACTCTAAGTTTGGTGTAAGTGGTTCCAATAGGTAATTTCTTAAATTGTCCCAAGTCCTTAGGAAAGTAAAAAAAAGCCATCCAATAATCATACACTGTAAGTAGTTGCTTCGCCCTCCCTTTCTTCCCCCCTCCCCCTCCCCCTGCCCCAACTATACACATTTATTTTGACCTTCCTTAAAATATGTTGGAGATGACCTGGGAAGGGTAGCATATTGAGTTAAACATGTGTTTTAATGATCCTTAATTTGAACAAGTCTTGGAAACCAAAGGACAAAGACAATGGTGCAAACCAAAAATGGAACTGTCAGCAAGAAGTAAGTAAAAAAGGTTTTTAGTTTTACACGCCTAAGGGCAGATCCAGGGGGAGAGTCAGACCTCTCAGTCTGTTATACCTGAGTGAATTTTGATTGTTTTATCCTAGAATTTAGCTTTGCCACAGGATTGAATTTTTCGGGGTTTTTTTTGTTTTGTTGTTGTTTTTTTTTTTGTTTTTTTTGTTTTTGTTTTTTAGAAATTTATTTTTAATATGTAACCAGAAGGGAGGATAGAATTGAGTGGTCATGAAAAGGTCCAACGGGTTTTGCTTGGAATACATTTTAATCTGGCCCCCTCTCAAATTTTTTTCTGGATCCGCCCTTGATGATGATTGGAAAAGGTATCGAGAATGCATTAATTATTTATAGTGGATCCCAGGGGACACTCCACTGTTGTTGATGAGAGCTGTCGTCTCAACTAACATGCAGAATGTCATTTGAAATTGGTTATTAATAGTCATCAATCATATAATTGTATTGTAAGTGATTTAAACAAGTAATTGATGGTAGTAATGTCATCCTACACTGTAATAGAGATCCTTTTTTTTATCAGGGAGGGGGAGGGAAAGGGAGAGGCAGTGGGATTAAGTTATGGGAGGAGCCGGAAAAAAAAAAAAAATAAATGGCACTGCACTTTTACGATAAACAGAATGGAAAACAACTGAGGGGCCATTGTGTATGAAGCAGTGAAGAGGGGGATCAGATTTTGAATATGTGGTGTGTGTTATTAAGCGAATCTTACTAAGTCCTCCCCCCTCCCTCCTATGCGATAAAAAATAAAGGGCCCACCACCTCCCCACTCCCTAATAAAAGTTGAACAGACCTTTAACTTTCCTTTTGTATTATTCTAGCTGCTAGAAATACTAAGTGATCCAGGATATTGTGAAATGACTTGTCCATTGAATACAGAAATGAAGGAAAGTGAGTGTGGTTTAGTTTTTGTACTTGATCAATGAGATGTTTGCTTACCGCATCACCTTTCCTGACAAGCAAGAAAAATAGATGTTGTCCACAATCGTGGGAATGAGAGATTGTGATTGGCTTAGGTTAAAATGATACTGATTCCGCTCCCTCCTGATTGGCTGCAGTTCTCACTCTCAATCGTGATAACTTGTAAAAGTGGTCCCTATTATGGTGCCCACACTGTAATACCCTTAATATGATTGCTACGTTTTCTCTTGGAAAGGGTCCTACACCATCAATAGAGAATGTGCATGTTACGTCATAAACACCCTCTTGGTTACGATAACAAAGCATTCTTCATTAGCTTTTCTTGTTAGATCAACTAGCATGGCGGTTGTTTCATTGTTATTCACATCTCAAAAAATTTTGAGTCACATGGTTGCACGCACTGTATACATAATACATTTTATTATATAGTTAGGATAGTACATGCGCGCTGATTGGTCAAAAGCTGTGAACAGAACACAGTGCTGACGCCACCGCTCGCGCGCGAAGTGCTGCTTTTACGTAAAAAAATTCAATACCGAAATAACGTTGGTAACTATTCTAATAAAACGAATAAAACAGCTTTTTCCGTGCTCCGCTCAGTAATACAGTAAAACCCCGCGTATAAGAAGCTAGATTTTTCCAAGTCAGCCTGAACAGGTTCTTATTTAGGTAGTAACTATTTAGATCTTATTTCATGGACACAGTGTAAGCACTTTAATATACAGAGTACTGTATTTACTGTATTAATTGAAGTGCTCCTTACACTTTTTTCGTGCTTACGTCCCTTCCTGCTTGCTTTATTACCGAACGCCCCAACAGACCACGTGGGAGACTTCTATAGCACCCCTCTCATCTCAAAAAAAAACCTAACACAGGGTACCCAATCGTTATTCATTTTCAGTTTCATTACTATTATTTATTAATACTATTAATAATATTAATATTTATGCTACTTTTTCATTCCAGATTCTCTAGTAGATACAAATCCCCGACTAGCCGAGCTGTTTTTGTTTGTCTTTATCAATATGTGTTCTCTAAAGTATCTGTCAAGATCCGAAGTTATAACGTAAGTTTTTGTTACGATATAACTAAACGAGTAATAAACTCGATTCAGAGTGACAACAAATTACCCTACTATATCGAGCATCAAATTTCGGGGGGGGGCGTTTTTTATTTATATTCGTATTTTTGGCGCAAAAAGGGGGGGGCTCCCCCTCCCCCACCCCAGCACCCCCGGCTCCGCGGTCCCTGCGGAACCATAAAGTATCCGCTGGGCTGATCTAAGTTAGGGCAGGGATAGTATCTCGTAAAACGAATTGGAATTTAGCATTTTAAGTTTTGCGGAGAAGGGAAAAACGAAATGAACCCTGGGAGAAAAATCTTCGAATTAAGCCACGAAGAAGCCTAAAAACTCTACTCAATACATGTGATGCCAAGTCTGTTGATCGAACCCGAAGCCCCAGGGGTAAGAGGCGAGTGCGCTACTGCTACGGAATCGGAAAAAAATTTTTGTGCTATTTGTCAGTATCAACTTCGTTTTTATTTCATGGTTTTACTGCATGCGCTCTAGCCCACTTTGGTTGTCTACACTGGTACAGTTCATGAGGTTTTTTAAAATGTTTTTTAAAAATGATTTTCATATAGGATGTGTAATACTGTGTTTCTGGGGTTTGGTCCTATCGATGATATGACCGAGGCATTAACTGAACAAGATATAGTTAACGACCTTGAGGCTTACGCTATCAAGACCAACAGAATTGAAGCTGATGATGTCGAGTAAGTATGACCCCGGCCTACGAAAGCTATGTTAGTACCAAAATTATTCCCGCTCGCATTGACCTCTGCTGGAATGTTGTGCGAACTGTGATTTCAATCTGGTATCAATCTGCCTTTTTTTCGCTTTTTAACAATTTCATCATTTTACTGGGTGGGACATTGCGCTAGGACAGACGGATGGCGTCATATATGTGTGTATTTGTTTCAGTTTTTCGTAGATTTCGAATTGAATTGATATATGTTTGTTGCAGTTATTCCTAAATACACACTAAATCCAGTTCACTCATCTTGTACATGTATAAAAAGGTCCTTTCCAACTAACGGTCTTCCTAAATCTTACGTACCAAACATATATCAATTCAATTTGACTGAAATCTGCGTATAACTGAAACAAACACACACATATGTAAACCAATCCGTCTGTTCTAGCGCCCTTGAGTGGGAGAGACACAAAAAAATAATTGCATCACATAAAGTAAGTTTCTACTTTACCCGTGAAAAAGAAACCCAACTTTTTATATGTAATGTATGTTAAAAAAAACCAAAGAAAACAATAAACTTTTTTTTTTACACAGGATTAAATCACTCTTTATCCTTATATTACTTATATTTTACAGACGATTCCCGTTACTTGATCTTGCCTTGGTCTACGAAGAGCAAAGCCATTTAGGTCAACGACTAACCCACCCTGACGGTACCTTGAGAAAAATGTTTGTCAAACGATACAAGTCTGTGTTTGACAAGTAAGTAGTTCAACCTACCCTACCCTATCCTACCCTACCCTACCCTACCCTACCCTACCCTACCCTACCCTACCCT